ACAAATCTGGGGCATTAAGCTTGTCTGTTTAGTGAACTGTGAACAGCCCAAGTTCGAACTCAATACAAACCTGAAGCTCAGCCCTATTCTCTAGATAGTAGCTGTGAAAATATTGTGTATTAATTAACTTTCCCTTGAAAAGTCTAGTTTTTAGCTTGTCTGCAAGGATTGGCAGGTATAAGCTTGAGGTAAGCCGATATAAATAAATAAAAAAGGAATCATCGTAAAAAAAAAAAAACGGTCATACGGTAAAAGGAGATATGAAAGGGGGGAAAGTGAAAGTGGATACAGTGGATTTTTTGCAGTGGATTTTACAGCTATTTTCTAGAAACTTCTAGAGAACCTTTACATTAAAGGTTAACTCCACTTCCATGGGAAAAAAATATTGCAAATAATTAAATAATAATATAGGATAAACAATTGCAACACAAGCCATATAGTAAAATTACATTATTAAAAGTTACCTCTTTAGTCTGCAGTGCTGTCATTTTCTGTAAAATGCAATGCAATATGGATATCTGGAGACATTCTGTACACACATGTTGTAGATTGGAGCCTCCCCAGAAATGTAATTTTTTGTTTGTGTGATAGGCTTACCGATTTTCCAAGAAGTGTGCCCTAAAATACAAGTCAGATTTTGGGCATCCTTGCATCCTCTGCAACAAACATGTCAGTTTTGGCGGGATACTCTCAAATGGTTAATCACATTAAAAAGGATTCAGAAACTGTCACTTTCCTCAACAGAACCCTGTAAGTGCACCAGCTGATCAATAATGAAAACTTCACTCCCATTCACACTCTCTTTGCACAAGGACACAAACAGCTATTTTTTCAGAATAACAAAAGGCAGGAATCTGCAAAAAGGTTTGTTAAAAATCTTTGCAATCTACACTGATCACCCAGGGGGGATTTTTTTTTTCTTAACAAAAGCAGAGCTACTGTTTAAGTAATGAGCAATAAATTGTTTTTGACATTCTCTATGCATACTGTATGTACTGTTAGATGTGATAGCAAGAGGAAAAACTCAGGATTAGGTTAAAAGTAACACAAAAAAACAAGGGGGAGGGAGAAACTACAACACAAGGTTTGTAGTCACTGGGTACTTAAATCAATGCAGAAAAAAAAATACCCTCATTATGTGACTGCCATAGATCTTATTGAAAATAAAATTAAAGCAAAAAAATCTTGAAATGTGCATTTATTCACCACACTAAAAAGTATAACTACACACTCTTAAATGGACAAAACATTGAACTTCCACAAACCTTTGATATAACATCCATATAAAAAAGGCATAAAAAAGGCATCCATTGCATCCACTTTATATGGAGAGCACATACAATACTTGTAAAAAAATTAATCCACGGAATCTGCTGATTCCTGCAGCTGTTTCTGCCACCTGTGAACGGTTAGCTGTGGCCACAGAATCCTGTATACTTAAGCGGGCAGTTTGATTTGGGCTAGAGGGGAGGGAGAATATTTTTTTTTCCGAGAAAAAAATGGATGATATTCCAAACCCAGCAATCCTATTAAACAAGTATTTTGTACTTCACTACTATGCCAGGGGCAGAGATATGTCATATTTTATTTGGATAAAACAAAAATCTTTCAATGTATGATGTTACAGTCAAAAGCCAGAAATATTGCACTGACAAGCAGCACGCCATGTAAGTATTTTTACTGGACTGCAAGACCGAGACACTGGGTAGGTTTGATCCTCCTAAAATATAAATTAGAGTGTGCTTTTTTCAGAGCCACAAACCAGAAACATTGAATTGACTAGCTGAACAGCATTTATTGCTTATCTGCTAAGATTTTATGTCAGAGGAAGATCTAGCAGACCTGATCTGGGATAATCAAATCACAATCAGGGTAATTTAATAAAGCTCAAACAAAACTTTTCTAGTGGTATGGCCCTTTAAAATGGACTGCACCAGATTATTTGAACCAAACCAAGGGCAATTTGGCCCATCACTACTCCAAACCACAAACCCACATTACAGAACTTCAGGCAGTTGTTATGCTGAAAAGGAAAAATCATTTTAACACAGTGAGCTGAGAGCAGTTAAGCGGGCAGTTTGATTTGGGCTAGAGGGGAGGAGGGAATATTTTTTGGCACTGGCTGCAGCTATCCATGGCTGTCCGCACAGTCAGTGATTACCTGCAGTGATCACTAGTTGTGTAGACCAGCCTTTCTCAACCAGGGTGCCCAGGCACCTCGGTGTGCCTTCAGGCTTCTTCAGGGGTTCCTTGGCAAAATGCCCAAACATTGTATACAAGCCAGCAGGTGGATCAATCCTACCTTTTAGTACACAAAACTACATTTTTTATGGTGTACTTTTATGACCTTCTAGCTTCCAGCATCCTAACAACCAATGACATCATCAGTTGATAAGGAGGATGTGGGGTGCATGCACATCATCCTTGTTTGCCCCTATCTGTCAGCACTGGAGTCACTTTAGCAGACTTAGGTAAAGAAACAGAGAGATAAACTGAAATACTAGTCGGTACCAGTGTGCCAAGGTGTATTTGCTTTGAAAGTAGAAATTGCCTATAACGATGCATGTACTGGGATGTGTAGAATTGTTTTTTACACTGTAGAATGGGGTGCCTTGAGATTGTGCAGAATTTCAAAGGGTGCCTTGGGATTATCCATAATTTTAAAGGGTGTCTTAACTAAAAAGGTTGAGAAACACTGGTGCTGCAGCTGCCTCTGCCCTGTCATTGAAGCATACAGGGTTGACAGGTACAGCAAACTGTTCACAGATGGCAGAAACAGCTGCAGGAATCAGTAGATTCCTGCCACTGTTATACGCACTCGGGCTAGTCGCACATGCAAATTTAGTCTACATAGCAAAACCTGGTAGGCTGTGTAAAGTTCGTCCAGCACAACACAGAAGAAGCTCCCCCTATTTATAAAAGTGAACCAACCTAAATAGGTGCAAATGTGTTTTTTTTTTTTTCTAATTTCTAAAAACTATCATTGATGGTATATAATTCAGTATTCTTAGATGGTAAGAGTAAGATTTTTTGGCTATGCTATGTGATTAATACATCAATAATGTTTTAAATATTATCAATGGTAGGGGTGTGATTTTTTTTTTGCTATTAAAGTTATAGTGTATTTTCATTGAGCTCATATTTTAAAGTGAATCTAAAGGTTCATTGTGTGTGGATTTTTTTTATAACAAACCTATCATACTTACCGTCTTTGTGCAACAGTTTTGCACAGAGCAGCCCCGATACTCTTCTTCTCGAGTCCCTTCCCTTCACTCTTGGCTCCTCCTTGGCCAGTGTCCCCAAAAGCAAGCTGCTTGCTATGGGGGCACTGGTGCGTGCTCGCTTCCATAAGACACATAGAGCTGTGACTTGCCCCCCCCGCTTTCTTCTGATTGGCTCACTGGCTGTGATTGACAGCAATGGGTGCCAATGGCTCCCACCGCTGTTTCTCAGCAATTGAGGAAAGGGTAACCCATGATAGCTGAGGCTCCTGCACATCGCTGGATCGAGAGGTGGCTCAGGTGAGTGAGGGGGAGCAACACACAAAATGCTAAAAAAACCTTCAGCTTTTACAACCACTTTAAGTTACAGAAATATTATCACAGCATGTACCATAACAAGTTTTGTCCCAGATATGGGCTTTAAAGACCAATTGCGGTTGTTCTCTTGTACAAATTGGGCATAAAGACAGCACAAGAAACACAGTTAGCTGATATATAATTGAAAAGAATATATATTTCCTTTAAACTTCTTTTACTGTATTTTATATTAGTTTGTTCTGGTCTTTATTCTGCTGTCATCAGTGCAATATGTGGATTGATGTTAGACATATGGAGCAATGTAAATACACTAACTGTAAGTGAGAATAACATATCACTTCCCACTGTTCCTGTTGTGAAAGGGTGTCATCACAACATGATGTGTGTTGCTCTATGTATGTATAAATAAATACAAATAAACAAAGAAAAACAAGAAGTTGTCTGATCAATTTCTTCAAGTTTACCATTACAAGCAGTCACTTCTCAAACTGATACTGACAATCTATTTTAGTCAGCAGCATAGTCCTCATCTACAGTATACAGCCTCTGATGTTTCTGAGTTCTGGATAGGTCATATCAGATTAACTAAAATTTAATTAAACCCCAGGGGTGTTTTTAAACATTTAATGAAATAGTTTTTTATTTTGCTTGGTGCTGTTAATTACTTGTGTCGAATTTTATTTTACCAGGGTAAACAAGCACAATGTTGAGTTGTTTTAGCATTTGAAACTATTTTATTGAATCATGCTTGTAATTGTATATCTATTACTGTATTTTTATTTATTTACATAGTTATCCACATTATTGACTAGCAATTATTAAAATAGAGCTTTGTAAGTTCTGTACCTATAAGTTAAATGGCCTGGAGTTCTTGAAGTTGTCACATTGCTCTAAAGGAGACAATTGTACTACATTTACTATTGCTGTGCATGTTCGTGTTTTTTTTTTTCCTCAGTGATTGTCTTAATATTCTACTCAAACTTTGTGTGTTAACCACTTGCCCTCCAGAGGATTTACTCCCCTTTCCAACCAGGCCATTTTTTGCATTACTGAGCTGCATTACTTTAACTGACTATTGGTTCATGCAACACTGCACCCAAATGAAATTTAAGCCATTTTTTTCCCACAGATAGAGATTTCGTTCAGTGGTATTTGATCACCTGTGCATTTTTTATTTTTTGCGCTATAAAAAAAAAAATTTGAGAAAAAAAAACATTTTTAACTTTTTGCTATTAAACATGTCCAGTAAAAAATTCTAAAATCAAATTTCATCATAAATTTAGGCCAAAATGTATTCTTCTACATGTCTTTGCTAAAAAAACAAATTCCAATACATGTAAATTAATTGGTTTACTTGAAGGTTATAGCATTTATATATGGTATGGTATATATACTGGAAATTGTTTTTTTTTTTTTAATTTTTACTAGTAATGGCAGTGATCAGCAACTTATAGTAGGACTGCGGGACTGCGGTGGGCCTTCTGACACTGAGGGGAACTGACTTGGTGTCACTGACAAACCCAAAGACACCAATACAGTGATCAGTGCTAATAAAAAGCACTGACATTGTACTAATGGCACTGGGCAGGAATGGGTTAACATGGGGTCAATCAAAGGGTTAACAGTATGCTGTGTGCTGTTTTACTAGGGGATGTGTCTTTGTGCTTCACTGTAAGCACACTGCTTTGCATGGCTGTGGAGTGCTAATAAAAAGCACTGACACTGTACTAATGGCACTGGGCATGAAGGGGTTAACATCTTGGGTGATTAAAGGGTTAACTGTGTGCTCTGTGTTGTTTTACATTATGTTCTGTGTGTGTGTTTCACTGTAAGCACACTGCAAAGCAGTGGGCTGAAGCTGACATGGGAGAGAACTGTTTTGTTTACTAACAGTTCTCCCCCCATAGGAGATGGTCAGCAATTACCGGTCGCCAGTGAGTAATCACCAGCCAGGACCCGGTGATTGACGGCCGCGGCCTCTGGAACCAGGCAACTTTCTGGTTGTGTGTACAGCTGTCTGTTGTACAGAAGCCAGTCATATGACTTGCTTCTATCAAACTGGCATGCTGGAAAATCTGCATCTGATCAGAGCTGACAGCCAATGGCTGCGAGTGCTGATAGTTACATAGTTAGTCTGGTTGAAAAAAGACAAAAGTCCATCCAGTTCAACCATAGAAAAAAAAAAGTAATTATCCTACACCCACAGTTGATCCAGAGGAAGGCAAAAAAAACCAGCAAAGCACGATCCAATTTGCTCCTGCTGGGAAAAAATTCACGCCAACCGGAAGTGTCACCATGGCCCATTTTGTTGGTTGTAAACATGTGTTTTCAACCTAAAGTTTGAGAGAGCAATGTTGGAAGCTGGATTTCCCTGTTTTTATGTAAGTTACGATTAAATGTGTTCCTTTATTATGGATCCTGCCTAAGAGCCTTTTATGTTTCTATGAGGAGTTGGGAGGAATACCCCTGGAAATGAAGGATTGAGAGATACGGATTCCCTATGTCAGCCCATGTTTGAAAATTACTGCAAGAGGGTAATAGTACCTGGTATCACTTTTGGCTGGAGTTTAGAGGGTACTAGTACCTAGTATCACTATTCACAAGTGGTTGGAGTGATCATGAGTTTTTTTTTAACGTTTTGGGTTTTATTTATTTGTTTATTTATTTATTTATTTTTGATTGATATAGTGGGAGAATAAGTAAATATTTATTCTATTTGCACGAGTTTTTTTAAGAGTGTTTTTGTGTTTTGCACAGAGTGAAGTACACACATATATATTAAAGGATAATACACTATGAATTTTCTTTTTTCTATCATGGAATATTTAGAATCAATTTCCTTTTGACTGGATTGAAGTGAAAAAAATTTGGAACTTGAATTTTGGACACATTGGATTTTATTTTTTACTTTATTTTTTATTTTTATTTTTATTTTATGGAATTCTATTTTATGAATTTTTGTGATTTTGTGACAGAATTGGAAGTGAATTTATTTAAACACAATTTTTAGTATAAGTGATAAATATTTATTTTGATTGTTTAAAATTGATTATATTGTTAGATTTTAAGTTTGGTTTTGGGGGATTTATATGTTTTATCACGAAAAGGATTTGTTGGATTGTATACTTTCTAGGGAGAAAGTTGTGACTTTTGGTGAGGGTGGAAGTATAGGAGTTTATTGATTGATTGAGGGAAAAAATTCCTACCTGATCCCCCGAGAGGCAATCGGATATTCCCTGGATCCCTGGATCAACTTTACCTATAAATGTTAGTATCCAGTTATATTCTGTGTATCTAAGAAACAATCCAGGCCTTTTTTGAAGCAATCCACTGAGCTGGCCAGAACCAACTCTTGAGGGAATCTATTCCACATTTTCACAGCTCTCACTGTGAAGAAACCTTTCCGTGTTTGGAGATTACATTTCTTTTCCTCCAGATGTAAAGAGTGCCCCCTTGTCCTCTGTGATGACCCCAGGGTGAATAGCTCTACACTGAGTTCACTATATTTATACATGTTGATCATATCCCCCCTTAATTTCCTCTTCTCACTCTTCTCAAGAGAGAATAAATTCAGTTCCTCTAATCTTTCCTCATAGCTGAGCTCCTCTATACCTCATATCAGTTTGGTTGCCCTTCTCTGTACTTTCTCCAGTTCCCCAATGTTCTTTTTGTGAAACCGCAGCTAGGCATTGCATGCCATTAATAAGCTTGTGATCTACCAAAACTCCCAGATCCTTCTCCACCATTGATTCCCCTAGTTGTACCCCCCCTAGTATGTATGATGCATGCATATTCTTAGCCCCCAAGTGCATAACCTTACATTTATCAACATTAAACCTCATTTGCCACATAGTTGCCCAATTAAACAGTGCATTGAGGTCAGCTTGTAAATTGCAGACATCCTGTAAGGACGTTATTCCACTGCACAGCTTGGTGTTATCTGCAAAGACTGAAATGGTATTTTTAATCTCAGACCCTATATTGTTTATCAATATATTACAAAGTAAGGGTCCCAACGCTGAATCTTGGGGTACACAACTGACAACCCTAGACCATTCAGAGTATGAATCATTAACCACTACTGTTTGAATATGATCTTTTAGCCAGTTTTCTATCCATTTACATACAGATTTTTCCAAGCCCGTAGACTTTACCTTACACATTAGCTGTGTATGGGGAACTGTATCATACGCTTTTGCAAAATCCAAGTATACTACGTCCAACGCCACCCCTCTGTCCAAGGTTTTGCTCACCTCCTCATAAAAAGAAATAACATTTGTTTGACAACTTCTGTCTTTCATGAATCCATGCTGTCTGTTGCTTAAAAAAAAAAAAAATATATATATATATATATATATATATATATATATATATAAAATATATACTTATCTGATCCTCCACTCCCCAGCAATCCAGCAGTCGACTGTCCCTCAGCATCCTCACTTCCCAAAAAGGGCTTTGTCTTGATGACATCAGGACCTCAGACCAGTGGATCCTGGAGTGCAGATGCTGTGGACGCTGGTCTAGCTTTGGGGACGAGTAGAGGATCAGGTAAGTGAACCTTTCTTTTGTTCCCCTTGACAAAAAGTAGCAATTAATTCTTCCAGTTAGGGCACAGCCCACTGCAAGGGGGTCATTTTTTTATTTGCCCAGAGATGGGCTTTAAAGCAGCAGTATGGATGTGGTAAAGCATATTACTGCATTAGAAATGGGGCTCCCAGAAAGTTGTCACAAATAAAAATGCAATTGGCGCAAGAGAATTTGTAGTGGACATAACGTTCACTCAGCAAACCTTAAACAAAATAATCCAGTAAACAGAAATTAAGATATATAATCGTACATGCCAGTAATAAAGGGGCAACAAGTAGATGATGCAGCTTTAGTGGTGAGGAAAGGGAAGGGGGGAGGGGAGGGGGGTAGGGAAAGGAGGGGAAAAAAGGCCTTGTGATGCAAACAGTACTGGATTGAGATAGATGGTATATATATGTGTATACATATATATACAACGCTGCAATGTAGACACCGTCGTGAGGCTTGCACTTTCTAGAGTAAACCGGACTCTGTGGTAAATGGAGAAGAAAGAGAAGTGCGCCAGACTAAGTGCAGTATGAATATAAAAGTTTATTGCACACAAGATTATAAAAACTCACAAGACGTGGGTAGATATCAGGCATCAATATATAAGGAGGAGGATGTCATCTGTGCTGCACCTCACAAATGGATGGCTGTAATGTCAAGGTGTTGCGTGGCTGGCGCTCTAGGCGGGTCCCACAGGAGGAAGCGAGGATGGCAGGCGCAGTAACTGGGAGTCGCGGCGCAGATAAGAACCGGGATCCAGGGCAGGCACTGCTGATCTCTCACATCAGCGTGGGTACAGTAGCCAGCTTGAGGCACATCCAAGATGGCCACCGGGCAGGAAATGACATCAGAACGTTGCTGGGAATCCTCCAAGGGGGCGGTGACGCGTTTCTAGGCAACCTGCCTTTTCATCAGACCTGATTGGCTAGTGGAATGAGCCAATAAATAAGGAGAGGAGGAAGGGGTGGGGCAACTGAGGGCGGGGTAGTGAAATTAAAAAAAAAAAAAAAATGTATAATGCATACAGGCTTAACAAGCAGTGGTGGAAAACATAAGAAATAAACGGTGAGCAGCTGCTTTCTGTAGAACATGTGAAAGATAGGAAGAATAGAAGGAAAGGAAAGAAATGGGGAAAAAAAAAAAAAAAAAAACGCATGTGGAACATAAAAGATTACACAGGAAATATTTAGTTATAAACGTTATTACTATGATGTGGATTGTAAAGGGTAAGATGGGCAGGTAAGAAGGTGGAATATGAAGGGGGGGGGGGGAGACAATCAGGGAAAAAAAAAAAACGCATGTAGAAAAAAAAAAAAAAAAGGGAAGTGGTGGGAATTTAAGTATATACGATAAAAAAATAATATACAGAAGAAATGCAGCGCTCTAAAATTGATATTGGAATTAATAGTAGACACAGTCCAGTAAAACAACAGTGCTCCTTGTTTCCCAGTGTAAATGGTAGAATTTTGCACTAACCAGAACGCGCATGGGTAATGCGCATATATGTGTAAATCCTGAAGATCCTTTTTCTCCACTTAAGGCTGGTCAGGTATATGGCTTGGAAGAATGGAGATCCTACGCCCTCATGTGGTGGGAAATGATCCAGCAGGTCAAAGCTATGACGATCCAGATGGGCCTCCACGAGGAACTGGCACAGGAATCCCAAGGGCTACAAGGGTGGAAAAGCTCCTCACAGGAGACACAGGGGAGCACTCATAGTGTAGTAATTTAAAACTTTATTTGAAAGCAGCACAGGTGCAGAATACAGGAGGATAGCCAAGTATGGGCAAACACACTGACCCTATTAGATGTCAAAATGGCCGCCGGGCCTCCTCGTGGCACCGGCGGCTTGATGTCAACGGCGTCCTAGGGTCCCACCTGACGCGTTTCGTGCGCACGCACTTCCTCAGAGGTGGAACATAGCTAAGTTCCTCGTGGAGGCCCATCTGGATCGTCATAGCTTTGACCTGCTGGATCATTTCCCACCACATGAGGGCGTAGGATCTCCATTCTTCCAAGCCATATACCTGACCAGCCTTAAGTGGAGAAAAGGATCTTCAGGATTTACACATATATGCGCATTACCCATGCGCGTTCTGGTTAGTGCAAAATTCTACCATTTACACTGGGAAACAAGGAGCACTGTTGTTTTACTGGACTGTGTCTACTATTAATTCCAATATCAATTTTAGAGCGCTGCATTTCTTCTGTATATGTATTTTGGGACTTTTTATGTGTTTTCCTATATGTTCAGCTGCTTGCACTATTTATGAGCGCTTACTATTTATCACCATCATTCCGATAAAAAATAATA